AGAACCATTTGGTTGTTGATTCTCATGCTTACCTGGATTCAAGAGATGTTTGCTTTCAGCTCTAGCAGTACATATTAGCTAGTGGCACTATAATTCCAGACTGTCTGTGGAGCACATCCAGATTATGCATTTAAATAATTCTCACCTCTTAGAATTTTCTATTCTGTAGTAGAATGTTTGGATGAAATAGGCATATAGGCATGCCAAATTGAATAAATGATGTAACAGGTAGTCAAGTGATACTTTTTTCTACTCTATGTCTCTTGAACTTTAGGAAGTTGAAAGGAAATCTATCCTCTCTCAAGTCTTGACAGAGAATATGTCTGATATTACCTTTGTAATGTTATAGTGCAACTAAGCATGTAAAAATCCATTTCTGTATACGATGATTTAGCATCTCTGCTCATGACATATGTGTTTAATGTTTTAATGTTGTAAGGATATGCCTTGATAACAGTATCCTTTGTTGCTAGATTCTTGGAGTTGCTTATGTCTGGCACAATATGTCTGTTTGGGACACAGTACATCTACCCATTATAAGAACAAGCAAAAAGTAATTGCTACAAGGCTTACACTTCAAAAATGTGCAAACTATTGTTCCTTTACAGTTTGGGATACTCTAATTTCTACTAATAGCCATGAAGGTGTGAACTGCTATTAAAGCCAGATTATGCTTTTCCTTGAGATCTTAAGTGGTGGTTTTGTATATTTAGTGATAGAGCTTGAAGGGGAAATATACATGTACCTCCTGTGGAGTCAAACTGAACCCCAATTATATCTATCTCTCAACTAAAATTATTTCAGGCCTTTACTGCATATTGTAGTTGTGGAACAGGCATGATAGTTCATGTTTAACAGCGAAACCATTTACCAATTATTGTCCATTGTGCCTATGAAATGGATTCAACAGATTGGAGAATTTGGCTACTCCTTAGAACAAGTATCTCTTCTGCAAGACTTTTTGCCACTTTGCTACCTAGGTTATTGATTATATTAGCTAAAGTGTGATCATTTACATGGTATGCCCGTGTGATTTTGCATAACAGACTGATCATGAGTTTGTTGGCTTTATTGTTTGCCATAGTAATACATATAGATGAGGGATTTTA